GCCCCGCCCGCTGGCCTACATCCCCCGTGTCCTGCTCATGTCCTGAACATGCCTCTCGCCCCTCGCATATTGGATCACGAGAGCCCCCTTGTACAGGCGCCAAGATGATCGCCTCGCTTGGATTAAATGTGCCATCGGGCCGAGTATCGGGTGACGCGCTCTTGCTGCTGCGGCGGGCCGGGCGTACGGCTTCCGACGCGAAACCTCGTCAGCTGCAGCCAAGGCAGCAGTTTTGTTTCCGCTTTGCTTTGCTGAATTTGGGCGTCTGTCGACTGCAAAGTAAAGGTCACTGGTAGATGATCTGACAAGGAAACGCCTATACGTGGCGGCTATTGCACCAGGGTAGGGATCGAAGTGGATGGATATTTATTTGGAGCCCCGCACCTCATAACTTAGGTTCGAATCAAAGCAACACGTTACGCGCTAGTATTTTGTACGTCTTTCTACAAACTCTCATGAAAAGTTAAACCTACTTCTCATATCAGACAAATCTGTGCACAAAAGTGCATGGTTTCGTGCAAATGAATGCACAAATGTGTTCAAATCAACGCAGAAATGTGTGCAAGAATTTTGGTACCTAAAATCGTTTCCTGTTACACGAAAAATAAGCCACGCAACTCTACATTATTTGAACTCATTAAGTGGAAATGAGGAACTTTTACCTTTACGACAATACGATGCTGCCGACACTGCGTATGATATCTGCCAATTTAACCCCACAGGTTCACGTTGTTCACCAAATTTGATACTCCTGAAACACGAACTTCCAAAGAGAGTTTTTAGGATCAAGTTTCGACGCGCTCGCATGTGGAGCGGCCTAACGACGGAAGTGCGCTCGGCCCGGCGGCGCTGCTAACGCGTCCATTTGCCGTTTGTAGTTTCGGCGACGCCTCTCCGTCTCTCCAGGATGACAAATAGCTCCGGGACTAGCGGCGCTAGTGGACGACACATCTCCAGCGGAGGGCTTTACTATTTTATCAATCGCGTGGCGCGGCGCGGGGAGGAAGGAAAACGGAAGATTCCTGGAAAAAGAGAGGGGCGACCATTTCCGCTCGGCCAGGCCAGCAATTATCGAGCGCACTGGCTGGGCGGGCTGGACGGGCGGGCGCCGGGCGCGGGCAGGTGACGGCCACCGGTGGACGTGGATAGATTTGCTCACGATTAAAACCATCGCGAAAACATTCGGTGGCGTCTAGATTGAAAGAAATAGCAGCAAGACGCCGAGCACTCTCTCCCCTGCCTCCCGCCGTGCCCCGCCTGCACTTGAGTACCACGGGCCCCCCGCGGCCCCGGCAGCCCTGCCCGCCGCGGTGGCAACCTTTTTAAACAATTCATTAGCGGGCTCGCGGCCGCCGCCGCCGCCGGTTCCGGGAAGCGCCGCGCGTGGGGCGGACATGAAGCCTGCGCCGCGTGTTCACACATTGACACGCACGCACACTCTCACACCAACACACAGAAACACACTTACTCTCACTTACACAGGCAGCGCAACGCCGCGCGGACAACCGAGCCGCAAGGTACTTTCCACGGAACTTAGCAGCACGGCAGCGGCAGCAGTGGCGGCACGGCACTGTACGGGGAACTAGGCTTTACGCGCCTTCCATGGCCCTTTCACACCCAATGGTACAGCCTTCTACTTTCAGAATAAATACAAGAGCTGGGCTGGTCATTTCATTAAAGCAGTATTAGAGGTTTTACTTTTGGCTTGATCACCAGTTTAGTAGAGACAATGTATTCAAAATTCTGAACCAGCTTATTAAAAATTGCATGATGCTATCTGTGCGCACCGACGCAGTTATCGGAACACTGTGACGTCGAACTCAATATGTGAATTGTGTTGCTTACCATATGTCGCATCCCAGCGAATGATCTTTGGCCGCCTTCCCATTAGTAGCATCGGTAGCATCCATCCTTAACGCAGAGTAGAAGTGGAGACGTTGCAGTTCAAATTAAGAGTCAGCCGCACTACGTACGTGCCGTGCCGTCGACGGCGCTGTGCGGTGCCCGCAGCACCATAACCCACGGCACACATCCCGCCCTCCTAGTTCCTTACAACGAACGACAGTCTTCATATTACAAAGAGTTAGGTTTGTTGTTTCTCTGATACGCGCGTCTTAGAGTCGAGCCAATCTCTGCTGAGTTCAAAAACAGCCCGTGTACCTTACAAACACCAGTGTGTGTATTACGATGAATATGGTTTTGTTACATTAAGTTAAGCCAAGCCGTACGCGCAAGACCAAGCCCAAGCCGAAACTCAAGCGCAATGAAACGAAATTTTCGGATTAAAGTAATAAGATTAACACAAGGACACAAGTTTGCCACAGTAGCGCCAATGCACTTAAATGCACATTAGCTGCGGCAGTGCGCAAAAAAATGAACACTACAAACACTAAAAACATTACTTCAATCCGAAATTTTTTTTCCATCGGGCTTGAGCAAGGGGGAAATCAATAGGGTCCGTAGCGTACGGGCTATTTCTGGTATTTCTCGGATATTTCTCCTGCCATTTCAGTTATTTCTCGCCCATTTCGGATTATTTCATGGTATTTCGCGGTATTTCGGATTATTTCAGGCGTATTTCGCGACTATTTCACCGACTGTTTCGCGTTTATTTCGGATTTATTTCGCTCTATTTCGCCTTTATTTCGGACTATTTCGGGGGAAGGTGTGCGAACTTTTTCGCAAGTGATTTCCCCCTCGGGCTGGAGTGTCGGCTTGGGGTTGCGCGTTCGGCTTGGCTTAACTTGCTACTGTATAACATTTGTACGATTAAGTTCGTCGTTCCATACAAATTGTCATAGTATAACGGGCTGAGAGTGCTCGGTTTATAATGGGCAACACCTGGTCCGTAATACAAACCATGCTTTTCGAATACAATTAATTTGTTTGTATTACAAATGCTCCAAATCCTTTGTAAGACATCACAAAGAGCAGTTGTTCTCAAGTAACTAACATTGAGTCCGTGAAAAGTGGCACGAAAATCCCACGTTGCATAGGTTGCACTGTAGTACAGTGCTCGGTTGAGGACTCTGCACACTGTCATTGAGACTCGCCATATTTGAATAATTATTGACGGGGAGGGGCCTAGGCCAGCCTCGTCCCGGTGCGGCTGCCAATGGCGGCATCGCGCGTGGGAACGCACCGCTGCACCGGGGCTTATCTGCAGGCGGCGCTGCAGCTCACTCTGTCTCTCTCACTCCCCCCCCCCTCTCTCTCACGTTCTTTTACACACACGCACACAGGCCAGCCGCTTGCCTGCTGTCCAAGGTTATCAGTCCATCATCACACCTGATCTCTGACCTAACCTAAACTGGGCTGTAGAGCGTGTGGCAGTTCCGTCCACCCGCCCCTCGTCCCGTCCGACACCATCTCTCCACTGCTAAACTTTCGACCGGTCGCTGACCGTTGTATTAATTTTGAAATATGAACTCACGTTTCTGTAAAAGTTCATGAAAAGGGTCAGACATATAAACATTTTCGACATCTGGTACAAATATCTTTTTATGGTTCGTTTGGTTTCAGGCGTTTTTCCCTGGGAGTTTGGGTCTCGGGGTTGAAAAAGTAAAACAAAGGTAGAACTTAAGCAGCCTGTACTGTAATGTATAAGTATAGTTGGTTCACGAAATTCTGACACACCGGCAGGCCTTTGGACCCGAGGTCTCATTGTAAGCGTCATTACGATGCGTGAAGGCCTGCTGCCGGAGGGTCCCCGGCCCTCGCCGGCCCCAGTGATACGGCTGCCAAACATCTTCGCGTCTCTTTTATGGGGGCCCGCTACCTGCGGGGGAGTGCGAAGTACGGCTTGGCAGCTCTAGCCTAGCGATCCGACCCTTATAATGAGTGTGACCATACTGCTTACGACGTCAACAAAGAAGGAGGGAGTGATTGTGTCCAAGTCCTTTGCGTGCCGGTGTGTCAGAATTTCGTGAACCAACTATAAGTAGCTATTTTAGCATTGCACTACGACTTAGCAAGGTTCAACGTCCCGCCTCTACTAGTGCAGAGTGTGGAGTGC